CGGGCGGGCGGGATCCCCGTGGCCGGGGAGGGCTGGCCGGTGCAAGAGCTGCCGGCAGAGCTGTCCGTCTCGCCTCGCTTTGCCTCGCCTCGCCTCGTCTCATCGGATTATTCAGCGTGGGGATGACAGCTCCCGCGGCCCTCCTGCAGCATCACCTGCCGGGGAATGTGCTGACACCGGTGGCTCTGGCTAAGCTGACCCCAGTGCCATTAGCAGCGATGGCGGGAGGGTGGCCATAGAGGGTGGAGGGCGCAGGAATGTCCCTGTGGTGGGGAAGGAGCTGGGGACAGGGGACAGGGCACAGGGTCCTCCCCTTCCCAAGGCTGCAGAATCAGGCTCTGCAGTCTCCGTAGGGCTGGCGTGTCCTGCCCCAGGCTTCCTGATCGTCCCCGTGGGGCTGGGACTGGCCACAGCTGTGTCCCTGCAGGGAAGCTGGCCAGGAGGGGCTGCTAACAGAGAGGAGGCCTGCGTCACCTGGCAGCTAGCCCTCGGGGCTGCAATGGTGCTGGGGGACACAGCAGAAGGTGCTGGCTCACCCAATGGGTCCTCCTGTGGGTCCAGCTAGTCCTTGCGTCCCCGTGGTGGAGCAGAGAGCTGCACAGCTGGGAGATGCTGGTGTGCACGATGCAGGTGGTGGCAGGGGAGAACCAGCGGGAGAGCCAGCTGCCGCATGAGGGAACGAGGGGCAAAGAAGGCCAGTGCTGTAGGTGGGTGCTGCATCTCCAGCAGGGCATTCTGCATGCCTCAAGGCAGGCAGATGTGCTGGCAGAGACCCTGATCCTGGTTGTCCTGGCTGGGCACAGCCCCAAGGGCAGCCCAGCCCCAGAAATGCTGGCCGAGCCGGGAGTTTGAGGGTGACTGAGCACTGGCAGAGGTTGCCCAGAGAGGTTGTGGCGTCTCCTTCCCTGGTGATATTCAAAACCTGCCTGGACGCGATCCTGGGCAACATGCTCTAGATGACTCTGTGCGAGCAGGGGTGTTGGACTAGATGATCTCCAGAGGGCCCTTCCAACCTTGGCTGTTCTGTGATTCTGGGATTCCTGGAGCTTGTTTCGGGAGATGTAACCCTGGTGCTGCCCCCCAGCCTGGCATGAGTGTGTCCCACCACTGGTGCCTCCTCCCCGACCTCCAGAGACCGCAGTGCCAGGAGGCAGCATTTCTCTTGTGGAACTGAAGCCCAGCTCTCTCCCCTTGGGCTCCTGTGAGCTGAGCGACGGCTCTGCCCTGGGAAGCGCTCGGTGCAGGGCTGGACCCCACGGGGTGCTGGGATGCAGTGGAGGGGCTCAGGCCCTGCAGCACCTACAGGTCTCCAGGCACAGTGATGTTCTGCACTGACAGCAGCTGGTTTGGTCTCTCCCAAGACACCGAATGTGTCAGCCCATGCTCCTGGACTCGCTGTGCTGGATGTGTCCCCAAGTCCCTCTGCTGGTCTAGAACAAGCCCTGTAGGGCCCCAGGCCCACTGTGATGCCTGTCCCTGGAAGGTGCCCCCCTCCCCCCCCTTGCAGGAGTTGGGATGGGAGTGACGTGGTCTTGCCAGATGGCAGGACTGAGCAAACCACAGCCCCCACCACACCTGCGCAAGGCCACAGTTGGTTTTGACAGGAACATGCATGGAGGGAGAGCCACGAGGAGATGGACCAGTTGCATCATCCATGTCTCAGTGGCTGTGTTGCTGCTTCGGGGACACCTGTAAACCCAGTAAGTGTCTTTGTTTCTGCTAACTTGAACTTCACACGGGCTCTGCTCTCTCCCCTGCACAGCCCTCCCAGAGGCCAGGATGAGATATGGGCCACATCTGGGACTGGCCCAGGCCATTCATGCTGTTTGTGCTGCTCCTTAAGGGCCTGGAAGACAGAAGTGCAGAAAGGAGGGATTTGAGCAGCTCCAGCAGATCCCTCCTTGGCCCAGCTCCAGCATCTCATTTCTGGAAGGGAGTTGTAGCTTGCAGTTGCATACCAGGGAGGCGATTGCCTCTGTGGTGTCCCACCAGCGCCGGCAGGAAGCCACCTCTTGTGTTTGGGACCAGGCAGGTTTGGCAAACATGTCACCCACCTGGGAGCAGTCACCCAATTCCCCCGAGTGGTGGGACTGTCCCCCGGCTAGTCCTGCCGGAGGGACAGCATTGCTGGGGTTTGCAGCGGGGGTTACGCTCCTTCCTCTGGGACCTGGCAGGTGTCGGAGGCAGTCACTGCCTCAGCCCCCGGCTTCCTAAACCTTTTCTTTGCCGGATACTGTGGTAAGAAGGTCACTTGGCCCGATGCCTGCCTTCAGGCATGCAACACCGAGTCCTGATTGCTGCTGCAGCCCTGGGGGCTGGAGGCAACCCCGCTGCCAGGGAGTCCCTGAGAGAGGCCCCAAAGGGAGGCAGAGTCACAGGCAGTCTCTCCCCGGCAAGGCAGGCAGTCACCCAGGTTTCCTCTCCTCTGCCTGTGCCCCAGAGTCAGGCTAAGCTGGGCTTTGATGCTTGCGCCACAAGGATTGGAGCGGGTAACCTGGTGCCCGGCCTTGCCGGCTCTGTCCTCCCGGGAGCACCCTGTCGGCAGATGCGGGACAATGGGTCCTGGGTGCCTTCCTGGCGGCTTGCAGCAGGTGCTGGGAACGTGGTGCTGGCTGGGCAGCAAGCGGGACGGAGCGCCGGGCGTCAGGCAGGAATCCCACAGGCTCGGGACTGGCAGCCCCTTGGGTTGCCGGCGAGAAGGACCACAGCCCTCTCGGGGCCAGGGCCTGTGGGGCTGGCCGGCTGCGGCCTCCCAGCACGTGCCCTCAGGTTACTTTGTTGGAGGAGTCAAGAGTTAAATCAGGCTGGGATAGCCAAGGCAGGGGAATCCCTCTGCCTCCCCTCAAAAAGGCCAAAGGCAGCAGAAGAAAAGACCAGCCAAGCTTGTTTGATAGCTTTATTGCTTCTGTGATATGACTGAACTGATGTGACATAAGCCGGCTTGGAGGAGCCCACAAGACTCCTCCCCTCCCTGCCTAGAGGGAAAATTAAAAAAATGCAGAAACTAAAACTAATTAAAAAAAAACTCACTGAGTTCTTGCATCCCAGCTTCAGATAGTACTGGCGTCGGCAATATTTTGTGTTGCTCGCGTGACACACGCTCCGACTGACTGCATGCGCGGCGCTGGTGCCGGGGGAGCCAGCGGGTGTCGCGTGCCGGGCGCCTCCCCGCCAGGCCGCCTGGAAGCCCTTGCCCATCCTGGGCACTGCCCGTACCCAGCCTGCCTGCTGGCTGCAGAAGAGCTCCCCAGCACCACCAGGTAGATACGCACAGACCGACAGACAGACAGCCCTGGCTTGGCACCTTCCCCATCTCCCACCAGTGCCCGCACGGACAGGGCAGAGCAGCATGATGGGGCAGGGCCTCCTGCCCTCCCTGATGCTCTCCCCCAGGAGAAGGGAGCCCCTGGAAGCCCAGAGATGCCAGACCGAGGGATGCTGGGCTGAGGGATGTTGGAGCGAGGAGTGTTGGGCTGAGATGCTGGGCTGAGGGATGTCAGGCAGCAGCAGATCCTTCCCCGCTGCCTCCATTTGGCACGTGTAAGCTGGAGGCTACTGCGTGGCCAGATCTGCCCTGGGGTGAGCTGGTGGGGGACCCCGGTGCTGGGCCAGCAGCACTGGGGAGAGCTGCACGCCCCAAGCACTCAAGCAGCCTGGTCGCACCGGCTCATGCTGCAGTCAGCACAGTGGCAGCTCCCCTGCAGCCCCTCTCCTCCGGGCCGGCGTGTGCCTGTGTCCCTGCGGGCCAGCAGCACCCCCAGACCTGATCGCTGCCCGGGTGGGAGGAAGATCCCGCAGGAGCACCTCATGCCTGGCTCTCCCCCAGCACAGGGCTCTCCCCACCCCTGACCTCCCCAGCCCCTCTCCAGGCAGGTCCCCTGCCACCCGAATGGCCTTTCTGCATAGCAGTGCGTCAGGTGTCAGGCAACCCCGCTCTATATTTAGGCTGTGGAGAATTCCCCTGGGCTCTCCCTTCTGAGACAAAAAGGTGAGTCACGGCAAGGGAGAGGCCAAGACTCACATCCGTCCCACTGACCCTGCCCTGACCCGCGCGCACCGCTCTGGCTGGCAGGGCTGCAGCCTTTCAGAGGGCGGGAGGTGGCTGCAGGTGCACGTGGGCAACAAGCCAAAGGAAGGGCCTCCGGGAGGGAGAACCAGCACCGTGGGCTGCCCCCAGACCAGGGCGTGTGCCGGCAGCACGCCCAGGGCCTGGCTGCGGACTGCTCCTTGGGGTCGCTCCCCTAACTGGGCCCCACCACGGGTCCCACTGAGAGTCCTCAGCTGAAGGCACAAGGGGACAGTGAGCGGCGAGGAGCCTCCGGCCCCCCAGCATGTGCTCCCCATCCTCTCGCCTTCTGCCTGCAGATAGGGTTCCAACCCACCGCAGTCACCCTAGGCCAGGGACTCGTCTAACCAGCCTGGGCGCTTCTGCCTAGAGACCCCCACTGGGTCACCTGGAGCCACCTCCCTGGTCCGCAGGGAGTGTTTCCCATCAGGACCTGGCCCCGATCGTGGTGGGAGCTGCGATGGCAGGGAAAGCAGAGTAGGGGAGATGTTCCCTCCATGGGCTTGAAGCCAGTGAGGCGGAGGGTTAAAGGTGTCCCACAGTGTTGTAGTGTTGAGTAAAAGGGACAAAATTAAATGTAATGCCACTGCAAGTCTCCATGGGGGAATGCATCCCCTGCAGCTAATCCCAGGACCACAAGATCCTGCTAGCAAAAGGTCCCCAAGCTAGCCCAGGTCCCCAGTCTAGGTGCTCAGCAGGGGCACAGAAGGATGGTCACCTAGCCAGGCTGCCCAGGAGATGCTCGGTCATTGTGTGCTCATCCTGCATCATCTGCGACAGTGAGCAGGAGGGGAATCGTAAATGATTCCCCTCCTGATCGGCCTCACATCTCTGCTCCTCTGAGGCGGTGAGGAGGGCACTGACACCGAAGGCTCTTCCCCACTCTCCTCCTCCTCCCTGCTGCAGCTATCCCATTCTCTGGTGCCTCAGCTCAACATGGTGTGTGGATACTGTCCATCACCCTCATCACCACTCTGCGGCTCCTGCAGTGGCTGGTCAAAGACTGGATTTGAGCACCAAGATGGGAGGACAGTGCCCACCCTGCCCTCAGCAACAACCTCCAGCCCAGGACCCCCACTGCCACCTCGACAGGGCCTCGGTGCGCAGAGACTGCAGAGGGAATGTCACCTGAGGAGAGCCACGGAAATCCAGCTCCTCAGGCTCCTCGAGCAGGAAAAACAAATTGGGGGAGAATATTCAAATGAGTGCCAGTCGCGGCACTGGCCCAGCATGCTGAAAACCCCATGGAGCATCCCAGGGGAGGAACTGCCAGAGCAGGCAAGTACCTCGGGGGAGCAGGGACTGCCTGGCTTGGACAGACAGGCAGAGCCCCTGGGGCAGGGGCAGGACAGAGGGCAAGGGCAAGGGCAAGGGCAAGGGCAAGGGCGAGCCTCTCAGCATCTCTTTGTCCTCTGAGGCCTGGAAGAGGCAGGATCTTTGAGCTATGCCCAGACCATGAGTCAGGGAGCAGCCCTGAGCAGAAGCTGGACAGGACTTGCCCCCAAGTAGGTTCCTTGGCTATGGGCGCACTGGATGCCCCACACAAGAAAGGCTTCTGAGGGGCATGCCCCACCCTAGGTTGTGGCCAGCACCACGTCAAGACTGAGAGCTGCCTCTGCCTGCAGCCTGATCTCAAACCATTTTGTACCCATGCCTAGTTCGTTGCCTGCCCCATCCTGTGCATCCTCTGTGGGGTCTCAGCCCAGGAGCCATGACCCACTGCAAGCCAGCGGAGCAGAGACAGCCTGGGGAAACTTGTGCGAGCCTTGCTCTAAACATCCTTTCCCTGTTTATCCATGTGAGGGCTACGTTTCCCCCTCCAGCTCAGAGCAAGGCAGACTGCGATCCTCTGGACAACGTCAGATACAGCGTCACGACCGGGAGCCTTGCTAACATCCCTCCCGGAGGCCCCCTCCACTGACCCCACCAGGGGTTGGCTGCACACTGGTGCCTCAACATACAGGGACTCGGCTTGGGGCATGGAGTCCGCACTGCCCCTCTGCTGGTGCAGTCCGGCCCCTTCCAGGCTAGGAGAGAGCAGGAGCACATTTCCACCTGTAACCATTCCCCCGGCAGTCCCCGTTCTGCCCACACTCTCCAGACAGATAAGACTACCCCACCATCTTCACACTCGGCTGCGTTGCTCAGTTTATTCCAGCTCCTCTGAAATACGTACACAAATCAGATGTGCAAATACTGCATCTCGGGACCAAGACAGCAAAGGAAGGGACACACTCCTGAGAGCAGGAGCAGCAGCAGTGCTAGAGCAGCACGGGAGGAGCTTGGAAATGAAGTGAGCAGGGGCCAAGCAGATGGCAAGGGTTCCCAGCAACCCCGCCACCCCTGCCAGCAGGCTCCATCATCACAGAGGTCATGAGTCACTTAAATAGGGAACATGATCAAGTCAGGAACATGAAACAAACGTGTCTTCAGCTGCCTGTTCTTAAACACTGTAAAATATCAGATCTCCACGCAAGATCTGACCTCCTTCCAAAAAATAAATTACTCCTCTCCCACACAAAAATAAAGCGAGATGCTGTCCAGAAATGGTGACACCAGTCTGCACGGACTCCACGAGGGTCCTGCACAGCAGGCACAAACCAAGAGGCCTGAAAGCCTTGAGCACAACAAGGCAGGCTCCTCAACGCTGTAACAGGCAGGAAGGCAGCGAGGGTCTGCTGCAGGCAGAGAAAGCCATTGGCTCCCTGCTCCATGTCGGGGTCAAGGCAGAGTCAGGGCAGAGCAACAGCTATGGAAAACGCAGCCAAATAAGTGGTTGCTGCTGCTGCCTCTATGCAGGAAGCAAGGAAAAGTGCAGAAAAACAAACCCATGCTCATCTCCAACCAGAAATTCCAAGTGGAGAACGAGAGAAAGCCATTCTCCCTTTAAATTATAGCAGCACCAACAATACTGAAGTTTTGGACGGATTTGTTTTCCTGGGGAAAGGCCTACGGCCAGTGACAATGCAGATGGAGCGTGGAGAGGCCGAGCTTTTTGCAGGGCTGTGCACAAGCAGACTTTGCTTTGCACCTTGGTATTTCTAGTATGACTCCAGCAGAGTTTCTTTTAAAAAATAATACTTTGTACATTCAGGCATTGCTGCTTCAGGGCAGCGCCACCTCCCATTTGGCACAAATTGCTTTGTTCACACACCTCTCGCCTCTCTCCTGAGTCTTTCCTGTTTAATTCTAGACACAGAAGAGCCGTCTGCGATGCAGAGTTCAAGAACTGCCCACTCGGTCCCATGCCCACCTCCTGCCGGCTCTAGGACTGGAGGCAGCAGATGCAACACTTGGGCAGCCTGGTAATGCGAGAGGGCCTTCCCAGAGCACCTCTGCCTGTCTCCAGTGAGGTGGGATTCTTGCAGAGGGCTGCCAGTGCCTGCTCTCAGAGCTGCAGCATGTGTCTTCCTCTCCTCCATTTGAGGCAGTGGCTGCAGCCACTCAAATCCCACTGGTTAGGTCAGTGATGACTCGGGCTTTCACCAGCTTCCGCAGGAACTCCTTTTCCCGTTGGATGTTGTGTGTCCAGGACTGCAAGGAAATGGGAAAGACAGAGGAGATCAGCAGCTATCCTGGCTAAGTGTGCTCCTATGCCGTGGGATATGCCGCCAGGAGCAGTGCAGTAGGTTATGCTAAGGAGCCCCTTCTCTGCTCTCACTGCACGGTCCCTTCCTGAGGCTGGCTAAGAAACCACCTCGCCGGACTGTTCCCGAGCAGCAAGTGCTAGTTTTGCATGTGGTGATGTGCAAAAGACTCCCTGCCGCCAGGCACGAGAAAGCACCGGACATTAGAGATGCCAGTGGCTGTACCACTGCCAGGGCAGTTGTGAGGCCCTGCTGCAGAACAGAAGAACCCTTGCAGACTAACATCCATCTCGTATGCAAAGCAGATAGAGCTAGCAGGATCAGACCCACGTATCTGAGGAAGGAGGTCTCCCCTTGACACAGGCTGGGTGAATTCCTTTGGCATGGTGAGATCTGGGCATCCCAGGCACCTTGACCTGGGGCAAAGCTATCCGGTTACAGTACCCACCACACATAGGAGCACAGCACAGCATAAATGGTGACACGTGCCTGGAGGAACAGCGCGGCCAGAAAGCACAGTGGCAAGGACACGTTACCTGCTTATACAGCTCCCTGCTAAGGGCAGCCTCTGGGCAACGCATGGGGGTGCTGCCGCACGATGGGAGCATGCCGTTTCTCAGTATGCTTGGGACCACGTGGGGCAGCCCAGGAGTAAGATAAAAGAAAAAATCTGCACCTGCGGGTTAGCAATGTTGCTCATCCTAAAGCACTGAGAACTTGCTGGCCACATGCCTGCTCTCTGGGAGTCTTCTCCTGGCACAAAATGCTCCTCCGCTCTGGATTTTCACACCAGAACTACAGCCACTAGCTCCAAGCTTCAATGAGGCAGGCTGTCTGCCTCCGCTAGCCCTACCAGCAGGAAACCACATGCTAAAGGTTACACTAATACAATGCGAAGGGTGAAATGGTCACATTTCCCAGCCAGGCATGTCAGAGCAGTGATTGCTATAGCTGTTGTCAGCCCACCCAGATGTGTTCTCTGCAGCCGGCTTGAGCAGTGATCACAGCATCTGCCATCACCCCACAGCACCAGTCCTATTAAAGCACTTAATGAAAGCAGTGAGTAGTTTGTCCCCTGGGGAGACTGAGACACAGTAGGGAAAATCAACTTCCCCCAAGGTCTCCCAACACAGCAAGAATCCTAGGAAATGAATCCCAGTCTCCAGCCCGGCACTCCAGCCAGCGATAATCTGGGCTCTAAACCGGATCTGCAACTTGATAAAATCCATCTATAGCAGCCTCTCTGAAGTGGCCTCAGCCAGCAAATCACCAGTCAAATGTACCCCCAATGCTGCTTCTTTACCGGTATCCAAACCCAGTTCAGAGCCCACTGCAAAATCCTAGGTACCTTCTTGAAGAGCAAAGGTCCCACACTGGCTGTATTTCTCATACACAATGCACGTGCTGTCATCTGTGGATGTCCAGTCCTGTCTGGGACAGGACAAGCAGTCGTCAGCAACGACCGCTGGCTGACAGCTCTGGTCACAGCTTGGAGCCTGCTGTCAAGAGGTCCCTGCAACTGAGAGCCCCTTAAAAATCTCCAGTGTATTTTGGAAACACCTCTCTTCCCCCTGCTGTGTGTTTACAAGCCACCTCCACCCCCTCAGTGCATACGAATGATGACAGTTAAAGCTGCTAAGAAAAGTTCAGGCAGGTCTTATCTTGCAACCTGTGTTCAAAAGAAGTCTTCAACTTTCTCTGCTTCCAGTGACACTGTTTACTGGGATGCTGCCAAGGGTGCACCAAAACAGGGTAATGACAGGGCCACGTGTGGTAAACTGTGGTGGTGCTCTTTGGGACTCTGAAAATGCAGAAGACCCTATCCATAAACTGAAAAGACAACATCCAGGAACAACTTGCCGCTTGGCTTCTGCTGGCATGAGACCAGAAACTGAAAACTGGCACTGAGAAGAAAACTGGCTTGTGAAAGATGAAAGCATGAATTTTAAAAAGCACCACAGAAAGAGATGATGGCACAGAGCAGAGGGAGCTGTGAGAACATGGCTGTACGTTCCTGTCATTCGGAGCAGGAGAGCCAGGACCCCCCAACGTGCTCGAAGCATTCCCACATGTGGCATGTCACCTGGGAGTCGTGTGATCAGCCCCCATCACGCAGCAGTGTCACTTTTGACACCATTTTTGCTATGAGGACACACAGCACCGACACAGGCAGCCAAAAGTGCACATGCTTGTGCCAGCATGCAGTTAGCAGCTGTCTGCTGGCACAGGGGTGATGCTGTGAAGACCAGGTCTTGATGCATCAATTTCTAGCTGGCTGGGCTTGCTGTCTGAAGCCTATCTGGAGCACTAGGGAGCCTGACTGTGCCTGATATGCCATAGCACAGGCTGATCCCTCCTTCACGTCTTTCTGCCTCATCGAGCAATAAGAGAAGCCAACCGGTTTCACCCAATATGACCTGCTTGCTTCCCTTGGTACGTGTACAGAAACTGGGGAAGCAGCCACTTCTAGGCAAACTCAAACCACTGAAAACGTCAACTCGGGTCACACGCAAGCACCTTATCTGATGGCTAGAAAAAATCTGCCTGCGTGAAAGGTCAGAGTGGAGCAGGAATTGAAGTACAAGAGGTTAAGAAGCGGGTGATAAAACTTTGGGTGATACAATTGTACTCTCTTAAGCTAAGGCTAAATTTGGCTCCTCTACTGACTGCAAAGCTGGTGGCAAGATGCGTACACCTCCGGCTGTTCAGCATCGAGCCTACCCGGTGCTCTGGTCACTGCCACAAACTCCTGTTTCCAAGCAGAAAGCCACATAAAAGGGAATTTAGCATCCTGCTTGATCCACAGATCTTACCGATGTCTGTGGAAGTATTTGCCAGTATTTGGCAGTTGAATGAAAGGCCACAGAGGAAGAGGATTTCCTGGTGAGAAAGGGTTTTTAATTTCCCCCATGAAGAGCAATTGAGCAGCGCTGCTCCACCCTGTGCCGGGCACCTGATGCTAACGCAGGCAGGAGGGATGCGGCTTGTCAGGCAGGAGGGATGAGGCACGTCTTCAGCACTAGCTCAGGTTACTGATTGCTGGCGAGGGACTCAGCCCACTGACAGACAGAGCTAATCAGGCGAACGAAACCGCATTCCAGCGCGAGCGGCTGCAGCGAGGAGAAGCTCTCGAGCAGTTTTTTCAAAACTGCAGACACTTCATTCCCATTGGCACTGGCAAGGGAAAAGCACCAAAATACCCTACAAAGCCTGCCTGGGAAGCTGAGTCTTACCGCCGTGCAGTGAGATTCTGGCCCACATCTACATCTGCGGTGCGTGTAGCTCGGCTGAAAGGACACACATCGCGCTGTCTGCGTACCTGCCACGGCCACAGAGGCGCTCTCTGAACGCTGCTCGGTTGCTGCACAGAGAGCCCATGCGCCTGAGCAGCGCACACCGCCGGCAGGGCTGGGAGGCAGGAGGGCTTTGTGAGCCAACGGCAGGCCCACGGCTGGGAGGGACTCATAAAAAGCCAGACCTCTGCAGTCGCAGGCTTTCTTTGGGGCCAGGATTGTGTGGTAGCTGTTGTAAGGCAAAGTTCTCTGCATCAAGCCAAGTATTTGTCCCCACTGCTCAGGTAAGCTGAGGTGCTCCAGGTAACTGATCTCATGGGCAAGTTGTCCTGGAGGTCTTTGAATGCAGGGAATCTCCTGAGCTGGAGCAGGATGGCAAGAAGCAGGTAACGCTTGGCCCACCTCTGTCTCACTGAACGGGCTGTGGTGTCAGAGTGCTCATTTTGGCATTTTAACTAGTGCACTGTGAGCAGGATCCACGTCTGGAGGAGGATTACACGAAGCAGCTGCAATGTTGGTGGTTTATTCCAGACACTAGTGCTGCAGAAAGCCTTTTCCTACTCTCTGACACCGGCTAAATTTTGGGTTCCCTGGCAAGATGCTCACTGTCCCCTCTGACTGCTTTGACCCTCTCTTTCCTGGCACACTCTGAGCCTCATTTCCTATTCGTGCATGTGGAACCATTTATGTTCACGCAGCTCCTGCCCCTAAGACCAGGAGCTACACCTCAGCATCACAGGCAGAAAGCTCCAGTTATTCTCTTGGGAACCTGCACCTCCAACAGTGACAGAGCAGCTCGGAGCATTCCCTGCCACCTCCACCTTCCTGGCACCACATGTCACTGCCACCGCTGCTCCTGCAACCCAGCAGACGGGCTCTGCCCACTCCCCCACTGCCGCTTGCCTCCAGCCCGCGTGCAGAGCGGAACTGCTTTCACTTGTGCAAACAAATGCACTGCTCATCTGAGCCCATGGCAGGAGTAACAAATCCCTCTGCGCTCCATCAGGGTGCCCCAGGAGGCTCCAGAGCTTTTCCTGCTGTTGGGGGATCAGGCTGGGATTTCCTTTGCTTCAAACCTCTAGCTGATTAGCTGATGTTTGCTCTTCTCAGTGGGAAGAGAAGCAGCAGGAGAGTCTCTCTGCAAGCACATGCACTGTTACGGTTGTCCATCCTGCAGAGGTGGCAGTGGGGCTGATGTATGATTGTTTGGTCACAGTTATTAGATCAAAATTTATCATCAGTTAAAGCCACCTTTCAGAGCTATGCAAATGCCCCAGCACCACCTGTCCTTTTTCCTTAATGATCCCAGGAGGAAGCACAAAACACTATTTCTCTGTTCCTTCAAAAGCAGCCAAGTAGAATATTTTAAGACTAAGAAAATGTTTCAGAGATCAGCCCACGAGGAAGGTAAGGTCCCCATCTGTAATCACTTACAGTCGGGGCAGTGGCTGAGCTTCAGCGCATGTTAGTCTCATCAACAAGTATATTGCAATCTCATAAAACGCAGGAAGATTAAATTAGAAAGAGTGAAGTCAATAAGGGACGCATTCAAGAGAAACAGCAGGATGTAAAGCAGGAGGTTTCTCAATTCCTCCATGTTCCTGCCGGCCAGCAGCATTTCTCCCTGAAAACCTGCACAGAAACCCCAGGAGGA